TATGTACAGTAAATATGCTCTTTTTTTAAAAGTGAAAGATGTTCAAATGTAGGGTGCATTCCTTGACCTAAAAATAATTGAAGGAAATACACAATATCTACTGCCTATGATTATCAACGTTAAAATCAAAACATACTGACATTAAAACATACATTGCCTAAAATGAACAGCCACTTTTTTTGATAAAAAAGTGAAAACAAATAACTTACACTTTTGGAAAATGTATTATTTTTTTATGTTTTCAAAAGTAGAATATAAGCATTATTTCTTCAAGATAAAATAACTTGTGTATATCCTGTTTCTTGAATCGTATGTAAGCAAATATTTTCATGTAAATAACAATTTTATCATAATAGAAAATATGCCACCTCAATGCATCTCTGGTGCAGCTTCTAATCATCGTCAATGTATTGCAAACGTACGATGTGTTGTTTAGCAATTCCATGCAAATGTCAACCTTGCCATGAAAAAACCTACATTTTCGCCAAAATAGCAAAACGGTTTCTGCGTTTTTTGCGTAGGCTTGAATTTTACAGTAATTTAAAAATCTCTGTCAGTGTTATCAAACAATAATATTTGATTTAAGTCACACAAGTGGCAATTTCACATCCATAACGAAGCTTTTTAATCATAAATGCAAAAACGTAAAATCAATCAGATTTGTTTTATGGTAATCCAACTCTTATCATTTTGCTTTGCATCATTTCTTTTGGCTTGTGCAGTTTAATTCACAGAATTTCTACAAAATATGTTGTATACTGTGAACTTACAGACTTTTTTGTCACATCCATAACGCATGTTTATTTTCCTCCTTTAAATAAAAAATATGTTTACAGATATTTTTCTGTTTCCAGAGCTCTGTGGCTAGTTGTTTTGAAATGTATAAAGAGAAGTTTCAATATAATGTTAACATATACTTCCTCTGTCAACCTATGTTTTGAGATTTTACTGCAAATGTCACATTCATAACACTGGAATTGCTCAGTTACATTTTTTAGGAGATCCACGAGTATGCAAAAGCTGTGCTAGACAATATAAATCAGCCTTAACAGTGAAGCGGTGATGTGATTGCACATGCAGTAGGAAACAAATCCAAAAAATGTACTAGGAAAAATTAGATCAATTATAGGTTCTGAATGTCCATTTCGATTACATTTTCGATTAATCGCCCAGCCCTACTATTTAATTAACTGTGGACAATGTTGTACTTTACAGTCATTGGCTGCTAATATGATTTCCCTATTTAAAATTGGCAAAGAATATTTTTCTGAAATTATATTAAGGTGAAAGTCAGAATGTGTGCAAACATAAAACCCAACTTTACACCAATTCAGTAACAAACCTGAGGCCAGGACAGGCCATGGTAGAAGTAGTACTTCATCTGATAGTTCTCTGGAAGACACAGCAGGTTGCAGTGCTGCATGTTCATCAGATCCTCTGGCTGGAGAAATTAAAAACAGCTAATCATTGAGTCAAGCTGACACATGAATCATTGGCACTAAACTACACTAGGGTTAGCAGATATACCATATAATAATAATATTCAGAGAGACGGTGTATCGCTAACTTAGACTATTCTTTTTTGCTGAGAGAGAAAAGAAGTGAACGTTTAAAAAGAATAAGACGCGGCCCCTTTAAATACGAGCAACGTTAAAAAACGAAGACTAAGAACTAAAGGCAAAAAAATTAACATAATTGAAGGATTAAAAAATTATTATCAGCACTCAATGTTTCATTGTCCAGAAGTTAAAGTGTCTATGATTATTGGAAAAATCATTTTGACACTCATCTCCTGTCTTATGGCTGTACCTCTTAATTCTAGTTTACTCACCCGTGCGTTGCGTATATTCATGTTGACCGCTAACCTGTTTGATAAATATGCTATATAATATAAATACAGGTGTCAAATAGGCAAAAGATCTTCAACCGAAGCCAAAAAGCACGCAGATGGACACAGCTACACCTCAACAACCATGTTGTCCATGACAGGAAGACGTATGTGCGGGTTGTTAAAGCGCTTCCGGTGATGACTGTGATAAAAGTCCTTGGGGGAAAAATAGTTCATTCATTCATTTATTTATTCATTTTAAATAAATAAAAATAATCTCACCCTTCACCCTTGTGTATTACTCCATCCACATACAGCAACAAGCAGAAACACTCTAAAGTTTGATAAATATTACTGCGTTTGGACAACATTATGTACTTTTAGGGCTTTTTTAAGTTGACATTGTAGTTGTTTAGATATGCAGTTCATTTATAAGGATGGTGCCTGTTTCAAAATATTTATAATTTCTGAGAGACAGCACCTCGGTGGTCATAGCCAAAGATGGTTGACAATATCTATCCGCAAATCTAAAATGTTAATATTCCTACAAAAAAAAGTTGACAACATTTTTTTCCATAACATAGATAAAGGACTTTTTTTCAGAGCTTAACACTGCTGTAAATTTGAAATGGATTTGTTTAACAAATTGCCCTGGTATCAGTGGAACATGTAATAAAATGATATTAGGCAAAAATGCAATGTGTATGTATTTTATTATAAATTATATATTTAAAATTTTATAAATTAGTCATTTTCATTAATAAATTTGAGTAAAAGGTGGTTAATTATAAAAGTTATAAAAGCAAATTCGACTAACAATATCTATCACTTAAAAAATGTAGTAATTTTCACATGATTTATTCAAATGGTTTTTGCTAAGAAAAATCAAGTTTTTAAACTACTTAAAAATAATTGTGCAATAGTGTTTCCACTATTTTAGTAAACATTCAAGTAAATAGCACATAAGATTTTTACAGTGTATTGTCTTGGTAGAAAGAAAGAAGAAATGCCCGCACGTGCATGGTTTTACCTTATCGCAAACCCAACAGCAATCTGGTAGTGATTGCTCTGCTTTTTTCGGGGTTAATAAATAATTAATTAATAATTAATAATATACTTTAATACTGCAGGGAGATATCTCATTGCAAATATATATAATGACATTTCATGTCACATTCAGCCTTATAATCTTTATAATATATATTTAAGACCTGTTTTGTTCAAATGCACTAATATATACCTATAAAACAATGAAAATTGTTTAAAATTTGGTGTACTCATTTATGCGGAGCACTGTATGTTTATTTTTGGTCTAAACTAAAAAATGTTGGGTTCCACACAATACCCCCATGTTGTCCCAACACAAATCGAGTAATTTAACTTAAATGTTTTTACAAATTTAAGTGAGTTGAACATAAAACAATTAAGTTGTCAGAAAAAAACTTAGAACAAGAATTATGTTGATTTAGATAATTAAAAATAGTATGATCAAGTTAGAACCATCAGTTCTGTGATTCCTGTTACTATTAAATCGAGCACAGAAAAAATGCATCAGCCAGACACAGATGCTTTAAATGCAGCAAACATACAGCGTGTAACCATTAAAAGGTTCCATTAAGACAGAAAAATTGTTGCATGATCAAGAAACTGTTTAGACTAGGGGTTCCCAAACTTTTCAGTACGCGACCCCCAAAATAACAATGCCAGTGACTCGCGACCTCCACATTTCTTGGAAGTGATTATAAATATACAAACGTTGCACACACAAAAGGCTTCTATAAACATGAGCATATTGACAACACAAGTGCAACAGTCTAACAACCATATCATTTAATAGTCATTTATTCACTTGTTTAATTTATTATTATCCTCACCTAAAGAGACTGGTGGGCACATGGAGTTCAGCCCAATATTCATGGTTTACTTTTGAAAACTGCCACTCAGAGATCATTCCCATTGTTCAGTTGTGGCCTTTACTTATGTTTAATGTATTTGATTGCCATAAAGATGTCAGAAAGTTTAACCTGGTGCTAAAAAAAACAATCTGCTGCGGCTGACACAGTTGCTGTGTTGTTAATCTAACATAAACACCAATCCTATGACAAAAATAAACTGTAAGGCTGATGGCTTTTTATTTGCATGTTGTTGCTTTGTTATGTAACTATTAACTACTATTTTTATCTTCTGTGGGTTATGGATGAAATATGGTCATTTTATTAGTATAATAAGTTTATTTGACTTTTTGGAAATCACCAAGAAACCCCTTGTCATTGTCCAGCGACCCCCTCTTTTGAAATCATTGGTTTAGACTTGATGTCACCGCTGTTAAGATGTAGGGCGCCTACTGTAGAGTGACTGTATGAAATCACCAAATGACCTTGAAATAGAACTAAATAGACTACAGTATGTAACATTGTCAAACACAAAGATGTCCAAACTAGGGCCAAAGTTGGCCCATGGTAACCTTTGATTTGGCCTGCCATCCCATCTGAGAAAAGAGGTAAAGATGGGGATGGTTTAGAGAGTGTAATTTCTAATTGAATGTAATCTTTTGTTTGTTGCATTGCTAAGATCCAAAAAGCAAATGGAAATGAAATGTTTCAATTAAATGAGTTTGATAAATTTTTTTTTGAAATGCACATACAGTCACCCGATGGATAAAACAAAATGATGACTTTAGTGAATAAAGGCAAAAGCTGATTCTGGTCTAGTGTATTCCGCATTGAATTCCACTGTACTATAAAAATGCGATTGTATTTTTATTATCATAAGTTATAATAAAGAAATTTGTACTGCATTAGTTAATACAATGTAAAGTAATGTTTTCTATTTATTTTTAAATACAATGAAAATAAATTAGCTATAGCGACTTTAATTTCATTTAGTTTGGTATATTTACCTTCGGCCCAGAGCACTCAACGATATTTGGTTTTTGGCCCTTCATACGAAAATGTTTGGGCACCCCAGGTCAAACACATGCACAACCTGCATGTATTCTGTCAGTGCTGCATGATCTTGGTTCGTTGCACCACCTGCTGGTTTATCAGCATTCAAAGTACATAACAAGCCTCGACATATCAGTACAGTTAAAAAAAAAGTTATACAATAAAGTGCCCATCTGTATACAAATACAATATGAACTGAAAGCATTGGAGAAAATTGGACACACCTGTGGCACCTTAACTATGCTTTATTGTAAAAGTGTCTATTATAATACAATAGAAAACACTAGTATACACTAGGCAGAACTTTTACACAAAATTATGTTAAAGCATAAAAAAATACGAACATAAAGCAGTCAAGACTGTCAAAGCAACATCGCCGTCACTCAATACATATAACATTAAAGGGATAGGTCACCCAAAAATCACTTATTTACTCAACCTTTGCTTAAGTTTTTTCAACTGAACACAAAGGAAAACAGCTATTCACTTCCATTGTTTTTTCTAGAGATGTTAATGGCTGTTTTTTCCAACATTCTTCAAAATATTATTTGTTTTGGATTCAACAGTAGAAAGACATTCATAAGTTTAAAACCACTTTACTGTGAGAAAATCGTCATTTTTAGCTAAACTATCCCTTTAAGTTGTTTTTTTATGACGCTTTATCCAATGTCAAAAATGATAGCAAGCAGAAATACAACATCCCCGAGTTTAGCTCACAGTTTGATAGTGATGTAACAATGTACATCAGAGCTCATCAGGACTATTTTTACAGAAGGATGCGTCATGTAATGCATATGCTTTGTAAGACTAAACATAATTGTGACAAAATACATGAACGCAAAAGTCACTGCAGTAGCAGACTGTACTTTAAACCACCACCTGCCCATAAAACATTTCTGAAACATAAGCAGCATTTAAGATTAAGACTTTTGCTTGAGAAAAAGGAATGAAACAGATTTGTGTTTCTTAAAGACAGTAGAATGTGGACAGAGGGAATGACTGTGCATTAATATCAGAATACTATTTAAAGGGATAGTTCACCCAAAAATGAAAATATACTAGTTATTTACTTACTCTCAAGTGCTTCCAAACCTTAAGAAGATTCTTTCTTCTGTTAAACACAAAATATGGTATTTTGTAGAAAGCTGTAGTCTTTCATACAAGTGAATGGAAGTTAATGGTTACAGCTTTCCAACATTTCTTAAGATTTCTTATTTTGTGTTTAAAACCTCATAAAGGTTTGTAACAAGTAAAATAAAACAAAATTTTAATTTTTCCAACATTTTTTAGAATATATTGTGAAAAGTAAAATTTTTAGGCGAACTATCACTTTAAGCTCATTTATGAAACTTTATCCAATGTCAAAAGTGATAGCAAGCAGAAATACATCATCCTCAAGTTGGCTCATATTTTGATAATGGTGTAACAATGTACATCAGAGCTCAGCTGGACTATTTTTACAGGAGGCTGTGGCACGTAATGCATCTGCTTTGTAAGACTAAACATCATTGTGACTCACTTGGACAACTATTGATCCCATTGTTTCTGGAATTTCTTATTTTGTGTGTAGTTTTGTACAGCTTATCTATACATTTCAACAATACATGAACGCAAGGATCACTACAGTACTAGACTGTACTTTAAACCACCACCTGCCCATAAAACACTTCTGAAACATAAGCAGCATTTAATGTTAAGACTTTAGCGTGAGAAAAAAAGGAATGAAACAGATTTGTGTTTCTTAAAGACAGTAGAATGTAAACACAGGGAATGACAGTGCATTAACATCTGAATAGTTCTTAAAGAGAAGGTTCACCCAAAAATATACTTACAATTTACACACCCGCAGGTTCTTCCAAACTGTTAGGAGATTCTTTCTGCTGTTAAATACAAAAGAAGATGTTTTGAAGAAAGTTGTAGTCTTCCATACAAATCAATAGAAGTTTAATGGTTACAGCTTTCCAACATTCTTCAAAATATCTTCTTTAGTGTTCAACAGAAGAAAGATACTCGCAGGATTGAAACACGTAAAAGATGACAGAGTTTTCACTTTTGGGTGAACAGCCTCTTTAACTGCACCAGCAAAAATAATAATGTACAATAAAATATAAAATGAAATAATAATAAGATATTTTAAAGCAGTGTTTCTCAACCACGTTGCCTGAGGACCACCAACAATGCATGTTTTGGATGTCTCCTTTGTCTGTCACAACCGTTACAGGTCTTTCAGTCTCTGCTAATGAGCTGATCATCTTAATCAGGTGTGTTTAGTTAAAACGACATGGAAAATGTGCAGAGCTGGTGGTCCTCTAGGAACTTGGTTAACAAACACTGTTCTAAATCATATACCACAAGGAGCTGGTATGATTCATAACATGCTAAAAAAAAAAAGGTTTTCCAATCACGTTGGTCTTTCTGTAAATGCAGTGCTTAAACAGAACGAATTTTCAATATTTAGTTTGTTTAAAGTGCTCGTTTCAGGCACTCGACTGCTGATTTTTTGTTTTTAAACAGGCTTCAGCTTCCGCATCTGCTGCTTTCACAGTTTGTGTGGATTCACCCATTTGTATGTTCCCTCGTAGCGGAAGCCCACTTTCTGCACCAGCTCATCAGCCTCAGCGGGACCACGACTTTAACACAGACAGAGAGAACGTGAGATACATTACACATCGTTTCCTGGAAAAAGTCTGTCGATGGTGAGCTGGTTTATATTACCTCCCGTATTTGTATTTGATGGGTGGTGTTTTCTCAGACTCTATCTGATGAAGGAGAGGAGTGAAGATCCTCCAGGCTTCCCTCAACTCATCACTGTGACAGTAGAAGACAGATTGCGTTTACATTAAGCCACTTTTCCACCGCACACGACATTTGGACACGACTGTCGGAATACGCTCTTTTGTGGCAGTCACACAGAACTTTCAGTTTTGTTGTGCACCATGGGAGAGAAGCTGATTCTCGCTTTGTCCGAAATAAAGGAGTGCTTAAGCCAGAGCCTTTATCTCTGTCCATTCACCATGGTTAAATGAATTAAATAATGAATACTAGAAACTCATAGACTGCTAAAAGATTCGGAGGGAAATGTTGAGACAACATTTAAAAAATAATAATTTTTATTACTCATTTATTAATAGAAATTTTTTTTTAATATAAACTTTTTTTCTGAAAAAAAAAAAGTATTTCTCATCTTGCGTGCATGGACCTGCTTGGACATCACTGCAGTACATCAAGGCCAAGTGCATACATTCTAGTCGAAAGAGTTTAAATATTTTAATGGATGCGCAGATCAAATTGGATCCGAATTTTCCACATACAGAGATGATCAGAACTCCTGGGCGACTCTCAATTGGAAATCAACGACTTCCGGTCTGTAGCTTGTCGTGTGCAGTGAAAAGGCGTTTTAGTGTCCATCACCTATGATGTTTTTAAACACATTTTTTTAAAGTTACTAATAAAAAATTACAAAGCCCAGTTGGACAGCTCAGATACATAAATGCAAGAAATTCAGGAGCAACGATCTCCAAGTTCGGCTCAACTCTCTATGACAAAATAAGTCAGATTCACACCTTCACGTCAAAAGCTTTCTAAATTTAGCTTTCTTGATCTTAATAGCAATAGATAATTTGTAGTATATTTTAAACAAAAAAAAAATACTGGAAAATAAATTATTAACAGGATATTTTGATGCATGTAAACACACCTAGTCAGAAACTTACCTGCGTACAAAATGCATCTGACTGCCACAAAAGACGTCCAAAATCAGACGTTCATAAGCATCAGGCAGCTTTACATCCTGTAAAATCAGAGAAATGCATTTTCTAGGGTTGGGTGATGTCGACCAATTTGGCATCGAACAATGTCTAATGTAAAACATTGCGATGAACGATGGCATCGTCGTCATAGGCGGAAATGAATAAATGATTTATGAATAATTAATTAATTCATAAATTAATTATTTGTAGCCTACTGTTTTAACTACCTGACCCGCATGGTCTTTGTTTTACCCATTAACAAATCATAAATAAATAAAGATACGTTACACACAAATTAGCATCTGTCAATCACTTTTTCCGTGAGACTCTGGCATGAATAGGCAGAGTAATCCGAGTCGTTATAAGGGTGTTGACAAACATGGTCGGTAAAAAAAAGTTAACCAACCAACAGAATCTGAGATTTTCACTAAAATTACTAAGTACTGAAAGTGAAAGACTGAAGCAGTGTAGTGAGGCTGTGACACGTTACCTGATAGATTCAAAAGACAGAAGAGTCGTTAGATAGAGAAAAGATTAATTAAATATCACTTTTAACAACTATAGTAAGACGCGATTCAGAGCTACATCCTTGTTCAAACAAGAGCATGACAGTGTGTGTGTGTGTGTGTTTGTCTGTGTGTGTGTGCGTTTTCAGTGAACGGAGGGCTGTTCAGAAATGCTAGGTAAAAACAATGTGGATGTGAATAATTTTCGTTGAAAAATGCCATTGTAAAACTAAGACTTATTAGTGTAAACGGGGCCTGAGTGTGTATTAATCGCGAGGGAGTTTGCGACAGGGGCAGGGTGGAGGATCGGCGATGCCCGCTCAGCATAGTGTTGTCTATGAGCCATCGGCAACGGACAATGGTATTGTTTATCAGTCCAACCTTAGTATTTTCATTAAAGGTGACCCAATATGCCACAAACGTCTGCGTGTCACCTTAGTGGCAGATTCAAAACTCTAATGGCAGATGGCTGCTTCTCACTCAGGGCTTTCTATGCTAATGAGGGGGAGATAATCACTAATGGGCGGGGCTTTTCCCTCTGACGACATGTACAAAGAGAGAATTTCAAATCAAAGTCTTTATAAAGCCTATTTTTTATCAAGCCAAATTATAAAAATATAATTTATTTATTTTTACCATTATAGGCTGGCCATATTCACAAACTGTTTCCAGACAATTGTTTAGTGTTTAATGTATAATATATAAGTTGACTTAGTTTATTAAGATAACATGTTTCCAACAGAAATTGAATCTTAAGTAGAGGGTGGGGTTTTATTTATGTGCTGCTTTTCTAATCTTTTACTAGCAGCAAGCTAATGGTTAGAGGGGCATGGCTAGGCATATTTCACCCAACCTGTCAAACTGACATCACAGAAGGACTGCCATTCCAAAGCAAAAGCAAATGGTGAGATTTTGAATAAAGATTACCAAAATAAACTGTTTTTCCTTCCAGTGGAATTAATGTTTACTTTAAAACTAACAATGTTTGCTACACTGTAAAAAAAATTCTTGCTGACTTAATTTTTTTTGGTCATTTTGATTGATGTAAGTAGAGATGACTTGTATCTCTACTATATTTGTTGTGTTGACTTTTAGTCTTTATATTTTTTACAGTGTAGCAAAATTAGCATTGTAAATTTTGATTTCATACCGACTTACTTGCACAAAAGTAAAATCCATGTCTAAAAAATGTGTGTGTGTGTGTGTTTTACCCTGTATCTGCTATGGTAGGTCAGGTCCAGCTCGGTCTCCTCAGGGCTAAAATAGACTCCAGGTTTCTTGCTCATCATCTTGGCGTAGATGGCCTCATTGGGCTGCACACGGACCACCAGCTCATTTCTCCGGCACTGAGAGCTAAAGATGTCTCCAGGAACATCAGTGAACTGCAGACGCACCTCCGCTTTCCTCTCATTCAGAGCCTTTCCACACCGGAGAATAAACGGGACGCCTAGAGAGAGATGAAACATCAAGACTTTAAAGGAAACTGTCTCACTGCTACACAACAAAGATTTATTTTGTTTTGTTTTATTTTGCTGTAGTGGAACAAAATGATTTTTTCATTTGAGCAAGGATACCTTAAATGAATAAATGTGTTATTAATCAGAGCTTCAATTAAATGCTGTTAAATGCTGTTTACAATAATAACAACAAATAATTTCATTAAATTATCAATTTAAATTATAACATTAAAGGCTGAAGTAATTCAGTTTCGTAAACTAATAAAATTTCAAATATATTCAACCAATATCCTGTATAACCATTTATAATGAAAAACTGTTATTTTAAATAGTAAAACTACTTCACAACATTCCTTTTTTATGATGTGTTATAATAAATGAGCAAACTCAAAAAAACTCATTACAAAATTGAAATAATCTTTATTACTGCAAAACTTAAACAGTCCCTCATATTTATTACTAGTTAATTTTGCATTCTTAGTAAAAAATAAACAGATTTGATCTCAATAGTGTTCGAATATATGAAGCTTTCATGAAAAGAGACTTAGCACAACAGCAAAAAAAACTTAATTACTAAAAGCTTTTAAACAGAATTGTTTTTTACTAGTAGTTAATTAAGCATTTTTTTTTTGTTAAATTACTGAATTAAATTTTGCAACACAATGACTGAAGTGCTTATTTCCAGAAATAGCAAAAGGTCAAATAAAGTGTCAGCAAGGTGAACTTTTTTGCTCTTTGGCCGAAGTGTAAACATTTGCTGATTATTTCTTCACTTCCACTACTCACCATCCCAGCGTTCGTTCTTTACATAAAGCACTGCTGTGGCAAATGTAGCCTGAGTGGAGCCTTTCGGGACCGTTTTGTCATCTAGATACCCCAGTTTTGCCTCCCCTTCTCCCTCTGGGTCTCCAACATACTGACCCAGAACCACATCTGAGAGAGTGACCGGCTCAATGCACTTCAGCACTTTCACCTGTAGGAGGACACAGAGAAAAATAGGCAGGTATGAGAAAGGAGATCTGGTACAAACTTAAAAGAGCAATGCACTGCCATGGTTAGGCCTGTCAAGATATCTATTTTTTTGTTGTACGATATAGTGCACCAAAATATATTGCAATAAACAATATTATTGTCATTTTAAGACATTTATTTTGTCACTCATTATATAATGCCAGAATGACAAAATAATATCATCATCACAATGCAAGTACATTCTTCCAATAAACACAACATATTTTATTCTCAAGAATATTTCATTTATTGTCATTTTAACAATTAAATAATTAGGCATTGGAGTCAGAATGTGAAAACGCATATCCTAAATAAATAATAATCAATGTTAACATCAAAAGTGCAAGGTAAAAAAGTAACAGAGACTGCGATATCTGCAATCACCTCTATTATATACTAAAGTAATTTATAGTAAACACTACAGAGTTTTTTTTTAAAGAATTTTTAGAATTGTATGTATAGACGATATATTTTGCATCACCAAAAAATGACTGCGGTCATGTCCATGTGCTGTGTGATAAATCGATATATTGATTATTGTAACAGGCCTAGTTATGGTAGCAACATAGTTTAATATGAAGATTAATTTCTGCAAGACATGGCAACTGTAATCATAAGCTTCTGTGGTAGAGGGTAAAAAGCAGAGGTCTATTTCACACTGTTAAAAGAAACGGCAACAAAAAAACAGACAAAATCAACATACATTAATGAGAATTTAAATTAAAAATAAACCGGTAAAAACAAATCAGACAAAAAAACATAAAAGACAAGACCAAATCAAAAACAAGATCAAAATAGGAGGACAAGAAAAAAAAAAAAAGCATGACAAATAAAAAAATAAAAAAAAGAGACAAAGAAATAACAAATAGGCAAAAACAAAACAAGAACAAAAAACAAGACCAAAATAAAAAAAAAGACAAATGGCAACCTAAATAAAATAAAAACAAGCAAATTAACAGACCAAAAACAATGACAGCAGGATGCCCTTCTGGATCTTTCCAGTGACCTTACTTTGAAGACACTACTGACTGCATTTACACGGAAATCAGCAATAGTTATTTGCCTTAATCTGAATTATATAATTAAGGAGTTTACGTAAGTGCTTTTTAAATATTGCGTCAACACGCTATTCACATTTACTGCAGAGTTTTATGAAATTTGGGGTGTTTCAACTTAATTTTTTAGACTTTAATTGCAGTTCGGCAGTTTCACTTTCACTCATGAACATTTTATTTATGCCCCATGACAAACTGGGGTATTAGATGCACACGAGTAGAGTAAGGACTGGTGGAAGTGTTGTTTAATGGAATTTAATACCGCATGGCAAAGCAAAAAACTTCTGCATTTCACAATGTGGGTGTCTGTGGCCCTTTACGGACTCGGTAGGTGCGTATGGACCTTGTCCAAAACAGCATCGAAAAGTCCTGTCAAGGCTCTGCAAACTTAGCTTTGTGAAGCAGCATTTTCTGTATGTACATACATAAAACACAAATAAACTATGGCTCACGCTTAGTGACTGGTAGATTATTTGCAGTTAGTCGTGTCAGGAATCCAACCACAGATTAGCATAAATATCCTCACATAAACAGGCTCATCACACTGAATCAGGTAAGCCATATATTTATGTTTCAATGTAATTAATGCTATGCATGTTAAAGGCAGCAAGTAATATGTGAATAATGTTTGCACATGCATTATAATTTTTGCTTGTAGGACGGGTGGAGGGGTACAAATGAAATTGGACAAATTGGGGGGAAGGGGGGTCCTACAAGTTTAAAAAAAAACCTGGTATAAGCTACACTACATTGTCTAGACCAGGGATGTCAAACTCAATTCCTGGAGGGCCGCAGCCCTGCAGAGTTTTGTTCCAACCCTAATTAAACACACCTGATCAAACTAATTGAGTCCTTTAGGCTTGTTGGAAACATACAGGTAAGTGAGTTGGAGCAGGGTTGGAACTAAACTGTGCAGGGCTGCGGCCCTCCGGGAATTGAGTTTGACACCCCTGGTCTAGACTCTTATTAATCTAGACCTTAACAGTCAAGACCTTAATTTGTGCTCCCTAAACAAAGAAATAAAACAAAGACAATGAAACAGACAAAAAATATTGAGCATTTAAACAAAAAAAAGAACAAAAAAGTAAACATCATTACAAAACAAACATTAAAACAAAAAAACTATTTTCACAAAAAGACAAAAATAAAAAACAAGCACAGAAAGCAAGACAGAGAGAAGAGGCAAAAAAGACTAAACAAAAGTAGACAGGGTTCATACGCATTTTAGTGCTTATACAGCACTGATAATATGAGAGCATATTTTTGGCCAAGAAAAGAAAAAAGTAAAAACAACTAACCTCAATTCCAATATACAGATATTTGTCAAACTAATTTTAGATCATCTTAATAGAAAATTACTAACCTACGTCACACATGACGTCATACGGGTCCCTGGTTGCAAAAAAAAAGACTGGCTGCAACAGCAAACATGTCATGTTGTGTGGTAGAATGCCAAATTCAATACATACACCACACTGCTTTAATGACAACTGCAGACGTCTTTGGCTAAAAGGGAGCTGGATGAAGTGAAGACCTAATTAGAAATGCTGGACTCTGCAGTTCTTATGTTATATCAGGTAAGTTCACGCTATGCTGAATCATGCACATTACTAATTTTGATTGAAGAAATTATTTCAGCAAAAACATTTACATATGGTTTATTAAATTGCGGACAACAAATGCCCAGAATGAAACGTTAAAGTGTAAGTTATTAAGGTAAACTTGGTTTTATATTTACACAATCATTCAGTGACAACTTGTGACACACTTCCTTTATTGTTTACCACGGCACTTTGAATATTCAGTCTGAAATAACTAAACTAACTAAATCGAAAAAATACAAAATATCAATGTCAGGTTTTTTCAATAAAAAAATAAAATATTTTGTTAAAATAATTTCCAAAATTTCGTTGGGTTTTGTTTTTCCAAAACTTTTCCATGCCTGAAAAATGCCATGTCAAAACTCCATGACATTTCCCAGGTTTTCCATGACTGTATAGACCCCGAGTAAAATCAAGACCAAAGTAAGATATAAAAAAAAACAAGAAAAGAAAATGACAAAAAATAAATAAATAAATAAAGCTAAATAAACTGAAGACAAAAACAGGCATAAAAAGCTTTAATGCAAAAATAGGCAAAGCAAATAAGTGAATGTGATAGAAAAACAAAAAGCTACACTACATTATCCAGACTTATAATCCTAGAGTCACAACCTTAATTCATAATCATTACAGACCACCAATCTAATTTGTAAATACTAAATGCAAAACAGTGGTGACTGGTGGATAAGTTTGATATACTGAATCCTCAAGGCTCATTATCAGATCTCATTCATTAAGATATAAATTCATTCACAGAAGATATAAAGGGCCACCTGTACAGACTTCAATGTGGGACGCCTTAGTTACCTTCTCATCCCGCACATCATCAGAGCTGGTGGAAGCAGGCTTCTCCATCGCCACCAGACTCAGCATCTGAAGCAGGTGGTTCTGCATCACATCACTGCAGACAGAGGACAGAGGAATACATTCATTTGCAAATCAGGCTGCATTAGAATATCAAAATGCACACAAGCTTTGAACTCAATCCTCCAGCAAATGTATTTTTAAACTCGTTTTGTTTAATTGGTCTTTGAAATGATGAGCCAATTTATCCTTATGCTTTGTTTCTTTATAGTGCTTCACATCATTCACTTTCAGCACGAACAAGCATCACAATTTTATTTATTCATGTTCCGAACAAAGATCCTGACAGTTGGTCTGGCATCCTTTATACCCCTGCTTTCTAACAAGATTTATTTAAAACTAAAGTAATGAGAATAAATATATTATAATAATCAGGGCTTGACATTAACTTTTTTCATCATCAGCCACTGTGGCTACAGATTTCTAACATTACTAGCCACTAGCCACACAGCTACATATTTGCTGGGAAAATATATTGTATATGCATACATTTGACTTTGACATGAAAATGACTTGATTTAGATGTGTTATGTCCACATGCCTCCTCATTCATTTCACTTTTTGTGTGTGTTGTGTATGAGCTTGCTCAATGTGCATAAGCAAAAAGGTTGTGTCGCATTGCAATTAGTTTTTATTTCACATGACTTTTCAAGCCTCAAAATTAAGAATTTACTAAATTTATCTGACCACACCAAAAAAAATGTATTATTATTTCTTAGCCACAAATTTTAAATGTGTCACAACAAGCAAAATATAGCTGTATACATGAGCTTTTCAATTAAACAAAACTTTTCTTAAAAAAAAAAAAATTACATTTAAAAAATAACTAGTCATGTATCTAAAATATGCGCCGTATTCTGTCCTGGCTAAAGGCCCCAGATCACCAGTTAACTAGATAAAAATGGGAGTTAATCTCATATTAAAGCGATGTTATTGTAAAAAATAATAATTAAACCCTATTAACAAAAATAGCTAAGCAAAAGAAAGCAGGTAAAAAACATATCGTGAGTGATAATAAAAGGATCATCACGAATACACGGTTAATGTTAGACCTGTTAATAAACTGTTAAAGGAACAATTAAAATGAAAGCAATCACTGCTGCATACAAAAGGATATACAGTTGAAGTCATAATTATTAGCTACATGAATTATTCTCCCAACTGTTTTTTTTCCCCAATTTCTGTTTAACGTAGAGATTTTTAGACTTCTCTACTTTCTGTAGACTATCAAAAATTATATAACTTAAAAGGGCTAATAATTTTGACCATAAAATAATAAAGACTTTCTTCAGAAGAAAAAATATTATAACATCAATTGGGAAATATATAAAAAAATAAATAAATCAAGGGGTAGGGGCTAATAATTCTGAATTTATATATATATATATATATATATTTGAAGTCAGAATTATTAGCCCTTCTTTGAATTAAGTTTTTTTTTTATATTTCTCAAATGATGTTTAACAGAGCAAGGAAATTTTCACAGCATGTCTGATCATATTTTTTTCTACTGGAGAAAGTCTTATTTGTTTTGTTTAGGCTAGAATAAAAAAAAACAGTTTTTATTTTTATTTTTTTTTAAAACATTTCACCGTCAATATTATTAGCCCCTTTAAGCTATACATTTTTTTCGGTAGTCTACAGAACAAACCATTTTAACACAATAACTTGCCTATCTACACTAACCTGCCTAGTTGTATAATTATGTCTACTTCACATTGTTAAAAAACATGCAAAAAACAATAAAAAGACAACAAAACAAAAAAACCTACAATAATAAACGTACAAAAAAAGAAAAACAAATGCATGCTTGATTAAGACTATAAAAAAATTTACAGACTTTTTTTTTTTAGAGAATTCTTGTGGAAAGAAATTGTGGCCATTTAATCCAATTAAGCATTCTTTTTTTCCTACTGCTTTTATTTATTCACATTACACCGAAGAAAATTATGACCTTCCTTTCATACCACATGATTAAACATTCTCATGTGCAAAAACATCTTAAAGCAAAAGAAACCATAACTAACCGAATGATACCAAAATCGTCAAAATATCCTCCGCGGCCCTGGGTACCAAACGGCTCTTTAAAGGTCAGAACCACACACGCCACGCTGTCTCGGTTCCATATGGGACCAAAAATCCTATTTCCAAACCTTTAAGGAAAGAGAGGAGAGAAACCATGGGATACAGAAGAAGAGCTTCCTAATGCTTTTTAATCCTTAATTATGCAAAAATGACAACTGTGTATGACAGCCAGTGAAAAGCAGAAGGCAGACAGGGATAAACACACACAGCGAGAGAGAAATAAGAGTGGCACACCTGAGGACCATCAGGTTCTGCACCATCTCTTTGCCCAGGTAATGGTCTATACGGTAGATTTGCTCCTCAGTGAAGAGAGAGGATAGATGACTGGATAACTCCTCTGAGCTCTGCAGATCACGGCCAAACGGCTTCTCCACAATCACCCTGTTCCAGCCTCTGCGCAAACACAATTACAGCATATGCAGTGTTTAAAAAAATGACTTTTTTTTACAAGAACAAACCCATATTAAACTTAACCCAAGTGAACACTGTAACATTGTGAATATAGTAAATTAGTCCCTCCAGGATTTTGCAAAATAATAATAAAAAAATAATAATAATAATAATTCAGATTTTGCAAATAAAATTACCTATTTTGTGGCTATTTTTGCTAAACTCAAAAGGTTTTTTTTTACCATGCATATACACAAATTTACACATCTTATCTCTTTACTAATTTTGGACCTTGAGAACCATTTATACAGTTAGGTCCATAAATATTCGGACATCGACACAATTCTAACATTTTTGGTTCTATACACCAATACAATGAAATGAAATGAACAAGATGTGCTTAAACTACAGACTATCAGCTTTAATTTGAAGGTATTAACATCCAAATCAGGTGAACCCTGTAGGAATTACAACAGTTTGCATATGTGCCTCCCACTTGTTAAGGGTCCAAAAGTAATTGGACAGAATAATAATAAATCAAACTTTCACTTTTTAATACTTGGTTGCAAATCATTTGCAGTCAATTACAACCAGAAGTCTGGAACGTATAGACATCACCAGATGCTGGATTTCATTCCTGGTGGTGCTCTGCCAGGCCTCTACAGCAACTGTCTTCAGTTCCTGCTTAATCTTGGGCCATTTTCCCCTTCAGTTTTGTCTTTAGCAAGTGAAATGCATGCTCAATCAGATTTAGGTCAGGTGATTGACTTTGCCATTTTATAACATTCCACTTCTTATCCTTTAAAAACTCTTTGGTTGATTTTGCAGTTTGCTTTGGGTCATGCTCCATCTGCACTTGGAAGCGCCATCCAATGAGTTCTGAAGTATTTGGCTCAATATGAGCATGTAAAATTGCATGAAACACTTCAGAATTCATCCTGCTGTTTTTGTCAGCAGTCACATCATAAATAAATACAGGAGAACCAGTTTCATTGACAGCCATACATTGACGCCATGTCACTACTACCACCATGCTTCCCTGCTTAGGATCGTGAGCAGTTCTTTTCCTTTTCCATATTCTTCTCTTCCCATCACTCTGGCACACTTTGATCTTGATCTCATCTGTCCATAGGATGTTGTTCCAGCACTATGAAGGCTTTTTTTAGAACTCTAATCTGGCCTTCCTGCTTTTGAGGCTCACCAATGGTTTATATCTTGTGGTGGAATCTGGTGTAGTCTTCTCTTGATTGTTGACTCTGACACACATACACCTATCATCTGGAGAGTGTTCTTGATCTGGCTAACTGTTGTGAAGTGTGTTTTCTTTACCAGGGAAAGAATTCTTTGGTCATCTACCACGGTTGTTTCCATAGTCTTCCGGGTCTTTTGGTGTTGCTGAGCTCACAGGTGCATTATTTCTTATTAAAAATGTTCTAAACAGTTGTTTTGGCCACAACTGATGTTTTTGCTCTCTCTGGTGGGTTTGTTTTGTTTTTGCAGCCTAATGATGGCTTGCTTGACTGACAGTGACAGCTCTTAGGATCTCATCTTGAGAGTTGACAGTAATAGCATCCCTAAATGCAATTAGCACACCTGAACTTTGGACCTTTTATCTGCACAAGATAATTAGGATAATGAGGGAATAACAAACACCTGGTCATGGAACAGCTAAGAAGCCAGTTGTCCAACCCTTAACAAGTGGGAGACACATGTACAAACTGTTGTAATCCCTACAGCCTTTTGAATTGGATGTAAATACCCTCAAATTAAAAGCTGACAGTCTGCAGTTTAAGCACATTTTGTTAGTTTCATTTCAAATCCACTGTGTTGGTGTACATAGCAAAAAATGTTAGAATTGTGTCCATGTCCAAATACTTGTAGACCTAACTGTAGCTGTAATTTATATAAAGGAAACACTGAAAGAAACACTGAAACTACAGTTTACCCCTAAAGCCAGCTGTATTATAATTTAAAATTAAACTAATTGTTTGAAATTAAAAGTTGAAAGCATGGTTGTGTCTGTTGTCTAACAAATGGCTAGGTAACACTTTTAAGCTGGTCAAGTGGAAGGACAGGTTCTGACTCAGTACTTCATTTGGATGAGATCGGGGCTGGGGAAATGCTGACAACAATACTTAATTTACATGCTTTTTTAGCCTTCTCCACATAGCCACTTCCCTCCTCCTAAAAACATATTATAGAATCCAGTAGGCTCTTGCAGAATCGTAGAGTTCTTGAAAACACATGACTGCAGATTAACCAACACATCTCAAAGAAATTCTGCTTGTTTTCATGTCTCCTGGACTGGGATCTCTCTTTATTTTTATTTTATTTTTTCCAACAAATAAGGATGAATTCTTCAACAAATAAGGAACACCTAGAGTTAAACAGTTTTATAATATTTTTTATCCATTCAACCTATCAGATCTGGCAACAGCACTTTTAGCTTAGCTTAGACAAAAATCATTGAATCTGATTAGACCATTAGTATCTGACACAATTTTTTTTGATAATTTTGCTATTTAAAACTTGACTATTCTGTAAAAGTTTCATTTTCTAGGCTGACATAACTATATTATCACTTCAGCTTAATAATCAAAGAACTTTGCTGCTGTAAAATGGCTGCAGTAAGACTAATGATATTACGCAGTGCCTGAAAATGAATAATAATAAAATTTAATCGCTTTTGGATAAAAGCCTCTGGTAAATGCACAAATAACGCACATGTAAATAAATAAAAGAGGGTTTGTGCTGGTGCTAGCTCTCAGTAAAGCTGTCCATATTAAAAAAAGGCAAACAAAAGCATGTGTTTTTTTTCTCCTCACTTGGTGCTCATGCACTGATGTTTGATATTTTTGGTGACATCATGGTAGACGCTGGGTGGCAGGGCCAGGTAGAAGAGCCGGTTGGCCTCAGCACCTCCAGGCAGAGACAGTAGGTGTGTGTTCAGGTCAGAGAAAGAGGATTCTTCCACATACTTCCCACTGATGTAAGAGTTTCGGCTGAAGAAAGCAGCAAGACGCTCTGCCTCATTGTCTACTACCTGAAGACAGAGGAAATAAAAAGCTTCATAAACACACACAGTTTTGTGAATTGCGAGGACATTTCAGAGGTTTCCAATATTTATATGGTACAAACCCTTTTATTGCCCTACACCAGAGAAGTCCAAACTCAGTCCTGGAGGGCCGGTGTCCTGCTGAGTTTAGCTCCAACTTGCTTCAACACACCTGCCAGGAAGTTTCTAGTATACTGTACCTAGTAAGAGCTTGATTAGCTGGTTCAGGTGTGTTCGATTAGGGTTGGAGCTAAACTTTTCAGGACACTGGCCCTCAAGGACCAAGTTTGAACACCCCTGCCCTACACCAACCCCATCCCTACACCCAGGCCTCACAGGAAACTTTTATTTTCATTTTTATGTAAAAAAATGTATTTTCTATGATTTATAAGCCTCTTGAAAAATGGAGACATGACGCAATGTCATCATCTAGGGCGATTTATAATCCATCAGAGTGTATTTATTTATTCACTTAATGTGTGTTAAAATATATATATATATATATATATATATATATATATATATATTAAGGTTTAATATTCAATTTCAGTAGCATTATTGACTAATATGCACATGTTTATATCATTTATTTACAACACAGTTAGTAAAGTAATATTTTCTATCTTTTAGTAGACATTTGTGTCCTGATATGCCACAAACACACAAAAACACACACACACACACACACACACACACACACACACACACACACACACACACACACACACACACACACACACACACACACACACACACACACACACACACACACACACACACACACAAACACAAACAGACAAAACAGCACATGGAGAAAACTGAGCTGTGACCTTCATGTAGGGCATGCAGGCTATGCGTATGGCATCCACAGTCAGATCTGAGCGAGCAAAACCCACAAAATATGTCTGTTCAGGGAGAAGACCATCTCTGAATAACCACCTACAAGAGAGAAACAGATATTAAAGCAAGATCAAAGAGGTGAACAGAGGACAAATTAATAACAATCTGTCATCATCATCATCATCATACATTATTTATTTAATTTTCTTACTAAAGTTTTCTAAAGTGGCTTGCTTAAATAAGCAAATAAGGCTTTAATTAAACATATTCAATTAGTTAATTTGCATAAACTTCAACTACAAGTATCTGAACATCAGATAAAATCAGGTTAAAAATGATTATGACATTAGTCAGGTTTTTAGTGAAGGGATTTTAAGAATCTCTTTGACAAAAAAACTGAAAAAAAAAAAATTCTGTTAATTAAAATGACAAATTAAGTATGAATATATTCTTCTTTTAAAACTTGTTAAAATTCATTTAAAATATTTTTTTTTCTGAAGAAACACTTCATGAAAATCCTTAAATATCAAAACTGACAAGTGTCTTAAAGCGAGAATTTACCTACAACTAAAAATTACATCATTATTTCCCTTCCACAAATCTGTTTGTGAAACCCTTGATTTTAATAGTAGAAAAAAAAAATACTATGGAAGTCAAATATTGACTGTTCTGACTTCTCTTTTTGTGTTCAACAGTAAAAAAAAGCTCTTGAGGGAGAATAAACAGTAGTTATTTTTTATTTTTGGGTGAACTATCCCTAGACATGTATTATTATTCGAAAGGTTGAATGTAAGGAATTTTTGTGAAGGAAATTTATTCAAAATACCATGCAGCCATTTAATTAATAAAAAGTGACATTAAAGATATCGACAAATGTTACAAAGGACTTGTATTACAAATAAATGCTGTTCTTTTGAACTTTTAACATATCCTGGAAAGGAATGTATCAGTTTTAGCAAAAAGATTAACCAGCACATCAGTGTTGATAACAATAATAAGAAATGTTTCTTAAGCAACATATTATGGAGACAGATAAGACTCAAAAGTAATTCACGCAAAAGACACGATTTACACATGCGTAGCCAAATTCACGTGCATAAAACCAAATTCACGTGCGTAAAATATTCAAAAAAATGAACAAAAAAATTTCACATGCTCAAAATAAAAATACATTTTCATAAAATACGTTTCACAAATGCAAAACACCATTTGCAAATGTATAGGAGTGTACAAAAAGTTTTGAATGTTTAAAACTTGCGAGTTCATCCTGAATGAGAATGTGCAAATCCTCTTTCACGTACGACTCCCCCTGGATACGTGTGTGTGTATTTTTGAGACTTTCCTGCCAGAGGCAGGGTAACTCGTACCTTTCAGCCAATCAGAGGAGAGCTGTAGTCAAGGACATCCACTCTGCGCTCTATTTGCGCAGACTGTTCCTCTCCAGCATGGCGAACGGAGAAAGCAGCAGTCGCACTTTTTTTTCATTTATTTATTTATTTGACCATAGCCTCACTCTTTTTATCCATTATTTTGCAGCAGCTCCGACCTTCTTTTTTATTGTCTCGCAGCCCCATAAGTAAACTTTAGCCCGCAGGGTAATGATGAGGATTAAGTAATATTCCCGCCATCAAATTCTAATAGTGCCGTTGTGGTCCAGCGGTCAACATGTTGGGTTGCCACGCCGTCGACCCGTGTTTGATCCTCACCTGAGTTAGTGTTTTTTTTTTTTTTTCATTTTTATTGTTAAGACATATTTTATTGTACATATCATCATATTAGAATATTTTTTGAAGACTGAAAAAATTATTGTGAAAATTCAGCTTTGTGTCACAGAAAAAAATACTATAAACATATTAGAAGAGAAAATGTATTGAAAAAAAAAGTTAATCAAAATGTATTTGAGTAAACAAATGCATTCATAAGACTTATTTCAAAAACAAACAAATAAAAACAGTTACAACAAATTTTTGATCAGTTCAGTTCCACTAAATGCATGCTTGTTTACTTATGCCAGTATGTTATGTCAGTGTACTCACCACAAAGTTGGATAGATTTTCTTTTTGGCCAGATCTCCCTACAAACGAAAAAAAAAAAAAAAAAAAAAAAACACATTAAAAATAAAATAACAGAAAACCTGCCACACACTATGCATGCAGCTGCAACGTTTTTAAATCTGGATACAGTATATTATACCACAGAGTGATCTAAGATCAGTGTTCAGGGTTTCTTTAAGTCAAATTTAAGAGTTTTTAAGACCCTTTTAATACCATTATGAATGAAATTTTAGACTAAAGACTAAACATAAAGGATACTTCTGTAAATTGTTTTAATAAAAGATTATGTAAAGGGATGTGTTGCTTTAGTTTTCTTTCCCTGATTAGGAAATTTAATTAGGAGAATTTGCTGTAAAAATGTCTAACAGCAGTTCTGAATATTGCAATAAAAAAACTTTGCAATAAAAAAAATGTTTGAGATGGATTATTGGTGATTGGGTGTTGGGCTGAGGGTAGCTTTACCTGGACATAGAAAAATTAAGACCTTTTTAAAATTATTAAATGATGAACAAAAGCCCAACCAATTACCTCAACACAAATCATTTAAACAAGTCAAATTCAATACTGCAAACCTACTAAACGAGAATTAACACCATTAAGATTTTACGTTCCCTTCCTTCATTTAAACAGTACAGCTGGAAGAGAATGTAGAAACTGAGAAATGACCACGAGTTGAAACTCAAATTCCGGTTGCCCAAAATAGAACTGTTCTAGAAGCTGGAGCAATGCCTGCACGGCTTTTAGATTTAACCCCACCTTTATTTGAAAACAAGCTACTTAAAATAACTGAAGTCAATCATTTGTGTTATTAATGATGTTCTATTTTGTTCTACTGACATCTTTAGGGTGTGTCTGCCACCACTGGTATTCTCGCAATACGTTCTTTCAATAAAAACTTAAGTATAATCTGTGAAAACCTGCAGAATTCCTGCAATAAACAAAATAAAATTTAATACTTTTAAGACAATTATGAAGGAAATTTCAGATTTATACAGGGTAAAACACTAAAGTTTTTTCTATTGTTGGCAAAACATTAATGAAATGAATCGCATACAAAATAAAAGTTTGTATTGACAATAAGTGTGTGTACTGTGCATATTTATTATTTATAAATATACACATGCATACATATATTTGAGAACATGTTTATTTACATTTTGATATAAAATATATGCAAAAATTATACAAATGATATATGAATATAAATACCTGTTTTGTATAGTTTTGTTGCTATGATTGTGCATGTATCACATATACATAATAAATATATGTATAATACACAAATTTATTAGGTCAAAACAAACTTTCATTTTCGATGCGATAAAAAAAAATTGTTCTAGGCAAACATTAATGGCCAGTTTAAATATGTTTACTTAAATTTGGTTATTTCTTTAGTTATTTTTAGCCATATATTTAAAATAATAACAAAACAAGCAACCTCTAGTTATATACATACTTTTCCAGCAACTTTCACTTTAAAAAGGCAAGTTTTAAAAACTATAAACAAATGAAAAACTTTAAACAAATGTTAAGAAAATAAAACCATACAGGCAAATAAAAAGTTAATAAACTAAAATTTTGTTAAATGTTTTTTTATTGTACTGACTGGGTAGCTTTACATGGACAAAGAAAATTAAGACCTGTTTAAAATATTAAAAATGTAAGACATTTTAAGACTTTAGGACCTAGCGAACACCCTGTAGAGTCAATCGTCATTAGGATATGGCTCCCTGCATCTTAAGAAAAACCAAAACCTGCAGAAAAACCTGCCTGCCTTAATAAAAAAATAAAAAAATTTAAAAAATTAAAAAAAAGCTGTCTATCAGTCTTGTCCGAACATGTCAACGAATATGTCAACAACGTCACAGTGAGTCATGTCACAAAAAAATGCTGTGTATAAAGATGATACTTCAAATAATAAATGCAAAAATAACTATACTATGATACAATACAGCATAAAAAAGCAGATACAAACAGATTCAAACACATCCCTGTTCAATGTGGCTTCTCAAAGCAAAGGTCACTGATCTCACCAGATTTGCTCCACACCCATTCAGATACATGGGAAACGCTCTGTACTCAGTGATACAGCACTGTTCTGTTTGTCTTGGCTAATTTATGTCAGTGTGGGAGAGTCCCCTCAAGATATGCAATATTAATCGATTTACAGCTCGCTATTTAATCTTTTGGTCGCTATGGCTGCTTCCCTTTTATTATTAAATAACTACATCTAATGGTGACAATCCAGTTAGGTAATGCTCAAAAACTGAAATGCATTTGTTCAGGTTTCTACAAAATGGTGGTATGTGCTTGCTATAAGTGAGAAAATGTCTATGTCTGCAGTAGTGTAAACAACAGAGCACAGCAATGGAAAACACAAAGCTGTGGATTTGATTTCCAGGGAAAGCATGAAATGATAAAAGGTGCATATTAAAAATACTACTTTAGGGAGGAGAAAAGACCAAGTGTACAGCATATATCCTTTTGACACCTGGAGTTTGTTTTTCTACCTCTTAAGCAGCATATTTTCCAACAATGCTAAACAGATAAAGCTGTTCTTTGGGAACAGGTCAAATGTGTGTTTAGTTTCAATGTAGTAATTTAAGCAACCCATCCCTAAGACTAAGAATATTATGCTTATGTTGAAGGAAATTCAAAATCTGAAGAGACAAACGTTGATAAGATGAGAATACATCGATGTATATTATATACTATATTATCAGTTGGATTCACATAAATTATACCAAATTAGCATGTTCATTACAAAAAAAATGTCTTTCATTAGAAATTAAACTAAAAAAGTACTAATAATGCAAAAAAAAAAAAGACTTTCACATAAACACAATAGTGATTTTATTTCTTATTTTATTTATGGGTGAATTCTTCAGACCTGGCTTAAACAATCTAAGATGATTTGCCAGATCCTGGATCTACTCATTTTGATAACTGATCTCTGGCTAATTTGGTTCTTTAAACAAGATTGTTGGAAAAATTTATGCCAGGGTACTGGAGAGGAGGATCCAGCCAATTATTGAACCTAGGATCCTAGGAGGAACAATGCGGTTTTTGTCGGGCCATGGTACAATGGACCAGCTCTATACCCTCACCAGGTTGCTCGAGGGTTCATGGGAGTTTGCCCAACCAATCCACATGTGTTTTGTGGACTTGGAGAAGGCATTCGATCGTGTCCGTGAGGCGTTCTGTTGAGGGCCATCTCGTCCCTGTATAAACAGAGCAGGAGTCTGGTTCGCATTGCTGGCAATAAGTCAGATTTTTATTCATAATTTTTATGGACAGAGTTTGGATGCAGCCTTGGGCTTGAGGGGGTCCGGTTCGGGGACAACAAGATTTCATTTCCGTTATTCGCAGAAGATGTTGTTTTGTTGGCTTCATCGAATTTGGACCTTCAGCATGCACTGGGGCGGTTTGCTGCAGAGTGTGTTATTCTAGGATGAGAATCAGCATCTCCAAGTCTGAGGCCATGGTGCTCCACTGGAAAAAGGTGGTTTGCCATCTCCAGGTTGGAGGAGAGAATTGACAGGTGGGTCGGTGCAGTGGCAGCAGTAACGTGGTCAATGTACCGGTCCTTTGTGGTGAAGAAGGAGCTGAGCTGAAAGACAAAGCTATCGATTTACCGGTCAATCTACGTTTCTACTCTCATCTATGGTCATGAGCTTTGGGTCATAACTGAAAGGACAAGATCTCGGATACAAGAGGCTGAAATGAGTTTCTTTCGAAGGGTGGCAGGGCGCACTCTTATGAATAGGGTGAGGAGCTCTGACACCCGGGAGGAGCTCAGAGTAGAGCCGTTGCTCCTCTACATCGAGAAAAGTCAACTGAGGTGGCTCGGGCATCTTTTTCAGATGCCTCTTAGACACCTACCTAGGGAGATGTTCCAGGCATGTCCCACCACGAGGAGGCCTCGGGGAAGACCCAGGACATGCTGGAGGGACTACAGTATGTCTCTTGGCTGGCCTGGGAACGCCTCGGGATCCCCCCAGAGGAGCTGGAGGAACTGTCTGGGGAGAGGGAAGTCTCGGGTTCTCTCTTAAGACTGCTGCCCCCGGCCCCAGAAAAGCAGCAGAAAATGAATGAATGAATGAATGAATGATACAAGATTGTGAATCACATTAAAATGTCTCGATGAATTGATCCGAGATCACTGCATGTGCTTGTGATTGTTATGAAGGACAGACCTATGTAAATCCTTAAAATCATGATCATCAATGCAGCAATTGGCTGATGGCACAGTAGGGTAATGACATAATTTGATTAATATTAATTTAGCCATGTGATTACATTACATACAATAGCAAACGATTTGTTAAATATGATACGCAATGACTTTCCACATTTGTTGTGGACATCAGACTTTACTCTTTAACGTGCCAAAAGTATTTATTTAGTTTCATTTTAGGAGCAGATTTTCTTTAGTTTAGTATTTAAGTTTCTTAATCCTGTGATGTAAGGCATAGCTGGCTGTTAAACTTAATTTTGCGTCAAAAAAGCATTTTGATATAGGAAAAGGGTCTGCAATATTTGTGAAGCATCCTACTACAGACATATTACTTTATTATTTCTTTAAAAAACTGAATATTGGCTGTGTCTATTATCATACAGAAATTGTACTAAAGCTGGGTCGGTATCTTTTAAAAGTATGCATTTGTATCTAAAAAAAAGTCAATTTTGGTGTCTTAAAATTAGCCTATAAGCCTAAATAGTCACTGATAAATGTTCTCTTTAAACCAATTGTGGAGGACCACCCCAGTGACCCCATTTATTTCAGAGTGTAGATTTCATAACAGTTAGATTAAAAAAAAATATATATACTTCTGATTTTAATTTTTTTATATAAATATATATTTTTACTATTTTGCCCAATTTAATACACTAAACATAACATATAGATCATTATTGCAAGAAACAGAGAAAGCAAGAGTTGTTTACTGTTATGTTATGTTTAAAAAGACCCTGGTAAAAGTTGTAGCGCTGACTACACTTTTGTACTTAAGTAAAAATAAAGAAGTACGGCCTGAAATAAGTACTTAAATAAAAAGTATTCATTGCTATACCTGTTTTAGTTTCACAGTGGTAACTACTCTGCACATTATGACTACATCTATACAAAATAGCTTGCATTTCTAATTTTGATGCGAATTGTCAGCAGCATAGTAGCCATATTCTAGTAGTAGTATATTTCTAAAACATAATCTAAAACATAATTTTTTTCTGTCTATATAATGTACTTAATAACTAATACATGAAATTTAACACTTCATTTTGTCCAAAAGATAGTTTAGTTTTTTATTTGATTTTTTTATTTTATTTTGATAAATTTAAAAATTAATGTATTTGACTACAAATTATTGTTTGCATTATGCTGAAACTCCTTTTATTTTTTAAACAGCACACTCTTGCAGCTCATATGATTTCACTGTTTGTTTGTTTTTTTGTTAGTTTTCAGAGTATTGAGAATATTTTATTTTACAAATAAAGTTATTAATGCTGTTAACGCATTTTTGCATCATCTTTTTCATATGATAAAGAATGCGCAATGACAAGAAATAACATAGACAGTGTCACAAAACACATCTAAACAAAAAAAAAAAATGTAAGGAGTAAGGACAGCATTCTTCCTAAAAGATCACACTGAAGAAAATTTATGTAAAAGTTTAAAAGAAGATTTAGCATCATGGGGAATTTGTGAGAAGCAACAAGTGTCTATCACCACATTTATTTTATGCTATGTGTTTTAAAGAAAATGTTACTATAGTTTTGTTTATTAATCTTAATACTATGGTATTTCATTGTGAAATGTTGTATTATGCAATTCTTGTGCACTGAATACATTTAGAATGTATGCATGTAGCTTGTTTGAAAAAGCAAAAACAGTTGCCAAAAATCGCAAATAAAATAGCAATATTAGTTCATAAAAAGCGCAATATGATTAATCTGCATCAATTGGGGTAGGCCAACAGAGGAAAAACTCAATGCCAATACCAGGATAAAATCATGTTTCTCAATGCAATGTATCTGAATTGCATATTTCCCAGGTTTAATTACGAAATTTAAACAAATTTGCTTATGTCGGTCAGGCTAGGGAATGTAAATTGCTCAAGGTCAGGAAAATGAGGTGATGTCGCATATTTTGATATGGTTACATAACAGGCTCCACATTATGCCATAAACCTGTGCAATGCAATGCCAACCAACAATTCAGATCAGGCCATGAATATCCCTCTCCTGGCCATCTTTTCCAACCCCACCCTCATCCAAAACACACAAGCCAGCTCTTTCACCTCTCTCCACACCTACTGAAAGAAAAGTGCTGACAGGGAGTGATATTGCATAATCCAGCTCACTAGTACCTATTTAAAAACCCAAACAATAAGAATGTCAAAAGCCAACAGCAGCAAAGATCTTTTCACAAAGCAGTTGTGCAAAATTGGAATCCTAAAAGGTGAAAAAAATGAGGAACAAGAAAAAAAATGCAATAAAGGAGGAAGAGGGTTTAAATTTCATCACAAAAATACGAGAAAAGATAGAAGTGCAATAGTCAGAAGTTCTGATCTATTGTAGCGCATACTTAAATTTAAATTCACTTGATGGCTTTATATTTGTGCTGAAAATCTAATCAAAGTTTTTTAGATAAGCATTTTATCAACTCCAGCCAATCACAGACCTTCTGCCACAACATGTTACCAATTAACTTTTAAGACTGCAAGTGTTCAACCACTGAATTACTCAACTGATCTCTTCAGTGTGGATGATAAATAGAAGCTCTGTGTTGGTAATGTGCCTTCACTGTTGCGTAATTATTTCACCAGTACTTCCTTATATATAAAACTGCAACAAAGACATGTTAGCAGCTCACAGGAATCTAAAATTTATTCCTTTATTGGAGCATAAGTAAGCCAACTGTGCTGTAAAATGATACCAGGAAACTACAACAATTACACTATTAGTGATAACAATGTTACTATAAAAATATGAATTAACTGTCACACTTTTATAGATGTTACAGTCTTGTTTTTTAAAGTTTCAATAGATAATGTTCACAAAATGGCAATAAAAAGTGTCAATTTTGTAATCAATTTTCCACATACTTTTTGACGGTAAATAACTAAACATTACAAACTCAATCACGAAAACAATAATAATAAGCTAACCTATTTTATTTAGATATTATTTTAAGTTTAATTATGGCTCTTTTTTTCTCCTGATGAATGCAAATTAGAGAAGATATTTTGAAGAAAGCTGAAAACCTGTAACTCTTAACTTCTATAGTAGGAAAAAAAATACTATGGAATTCGATGGTTAAAGGTTTTCAACATTCTTTGAAATATCTGTAGCTGCTCAACAAAAAAAGAAACTCAAAAAGGTTTGGAACAACTGAAGGGAGAGCAAAATTATGATGGATTTCATTTTTTGTAAACTTTAAGAATGCAAATTACTGAGCATTCAACATGTGATCTGATTTTAAAGTCTCATTTTGGCTCCCCTGAAATGGGATTTGTCATAATATTGCGATTTTGTGAGTATAGACCAAGTAAAAGACTGTGAACAGATCATTAGGAAATGCACACTCTTTGATCGGAAGTCTCTAATTCATGTTAACTCATGTTAAAGTGAAAACATGAAGTATAGTGGCTGCTAAAAAATTGTAATATAATAAAAAGGTTTGTTTGTGTTAGTAAATCAAATGCTTGTAAAAGTGTTTACTTTGGAGGGGGGCTAACTAAAATAGGGCTGCACAATATTGGAAAAATTTCACATTGTAATATTTTGTTTGGCCCTGATATGTATTGTGATATGAATATAATTTCACCAGAAAATTTGAACAGCCCTGCTTGAATATTTTATTAATTGGAAAAGAGTCCAAAAGTAAATGTAAAACAACATGATCATCATTGTATACATTGTAAAAATTATATTATCTTTATCTATCAATCTTTCATGAATAATCTAATCCTGTAATGTGACTATTGCAGATACACAGATTGAGATATCAATGCCCAAATTATATATTGTTCAGCCCTAAACTTAAGTCATTTTAAAGTATTTTGAGAAGTCTGGTATAATGCAAAATTATTTCTAGCACATTTAGCAAAAAGACAAAAAAACAAAAAAAAAACTTTCTATTGGTTTTAACTATTGTTTTTCTATAGCTGATTTAAATCAGCAGGAAACATTGCAATTACATTATATTCTAAGATAGTCCATCGAGAGAAGCATAACTGCTCTTAATTTAATGTCCAAGTATGTAACAGTATTTAATGCAAAAAGAATGAATAGTTAGCAAGTACTATGACTAAATAATAGTTTTAAAGCATGTCTATCTATTCTTCTACATATATAGAAATCAAGATACAATTCTCACCTTCCGAAATTCCTGATAATACAGCCATGAAATAAAGAATTATGCAATAATAATAAAGTAATAAAGGAAAAATAAATAATTATTAAAATCATGCAGACATGTGTAACTAAGCAACAAATAAGTTTTTGTGGCAAGGGCTGCTGGGAGAGAGTTGTGAGATGTTTACAAAGAGGACAGAAAAGTTCTGATTTCATGTCATTCTAATAAAATGAAAAAAAAATCTGGCAATTAACTTGTATACATGCGCACACACACACACACACACACACACGCACGCACACACGCACACATACATGCACACGTACACGCGCACGCACGCACACATGCACACACAAATCCCCTTTCATTGTGCTTTTACAAATTCGTAGCTAAGGTGTGATGATGAGCATATGCATTTGTATCTATTCAGAAAATTTTATAGATTTCTAGAAATCTGCAGTCACTGTAAAAAAAAATGTTTATATCTATTTGTGGTCCATAAGCAGATGCAAGGTGTGCAAAGTAAAAGAAAATTCATGACTGCATATGAAACTGTGTTAATTCCTCATTAAATGTGACGAATAAATCAAAATAATAAAGACTTACCGAAGCGCCCATGATGATGAAGATATGCACATCTGACTGGTGAAATGCGGTATCATCATGCAGTTCTTTCCTCAACTGCCCAAACACTTCTGAACGTGAGAGCGGAAGGCTCATCTTGTCTGCCAAGAGGTCGGAAAAAGATTAAACCACAGTCTCACAGAGCTCAAATGTTCATACAATCAGACACATTAATTCCAGTCACGAATTAAAAAGCATGTCCTTATCTTTGATAAATGTTAAATGAAAAAAAAAAATGCTTTTAGCAGTGATAAATAGAAGCCTTGTGTTGGCAATGTCCTTTCATGGTTTATATTTTTAGCTGTCCTTCCTAGTAAAATAGTAAATAATTAATAAATAAATACAATATTGTTTTACCATTTCATAGCAATCTGAGATTCTCTCCTCTTATTGGAGCTACAGTAATTAGGCTATATTATCAATATATGCAAAATCCACAATTAATGGTCTAAAAAAAAAAAATCTTCTACAGTATGAAAAGTGCTTCTGTTCCAAATAAGTACATTTTCTGAGACAATTAGGCAGATTTGTTTTTACAGATGGGATTTTTTTAACATAAACAAAACATGTTTTCACCAAAACAAAACATGTCATAATTTTGCTTACAAAATAGATGTCTTGATTTAAGAATATTTTCATATTTGCAAGACAAAGGCAAAATACAGATCTGGAAAATACTTTCTCTAAGTGTTATCTGAAGGTACAGTAAAAGTTACATCCAGATTCTAGAGTTTGAGAGCAGTTACTCAAACCTTAAGCTCTTTTATTTTTGTTTATTTTTTATTTTTTTGTATGATCATCTGCTCCCTATGAATTTAAATCCCAAACAAACTCACAGAAACCATGAAATTATTTAGAGCAGTAGTAGTTAACTAGAAATTGTTTAGATAGATATGAACATACAAGGAAGTAACAGACATTACCAACTTTAGAAAGGCTAAAGCTGTTCTAAAATATGCCACAGATTCACACACAAAATCTTTTATGCGCGATTTGACCAATCTACACAACACGCACATACAATTGAGGTAAAGTTTGTTTTATATTTGCATAATCAGACTTTCTCCATAATATCATTTTAGAAAAGTATTATTTTCTAATTATAAATTGTGAAATCATATTAGCAGCCAATTAATATCAAAGTACTTCATTGTTCACAGTAAAATAAATAGTTTTAAAGTATTAAATATTAAGTAAATATTTTTTTCCAAGTCTTACTTGCATGCAATTTTAGTCCGAATATTCAAGTACCATGGTAAACAATACAGGAAGTTGTCACTGAATGGATGTGCGAATATAAAACCAACTTTACCTCAGTACACATACACACATTAAAATCATAAAAGGTATTAATAAGAACAAGCAACACAATGTTCAGAAGTAAAACTGCAGACTTCTCTATATGTGGTACCTACAGTAGACTAACATCAAACACTTCAGAAAAACATTATTTGTAAGGACTTGTTAAATATTACTTATTTATTCATTATTAATATTATTTTTTGTGTTTCACATGCAATAATATTGTTAATTATGAGACACTAGGCTTTAAAATATAGATATGTGTGAATTTAAAACCAACTTTACCTCAATAAACAACAGTAGCTAAAACTGCTTTAAGAGTAGTCCAGTAATTTATCACATCACACAACTACAGGATCTGCACTGGGATGATGACAAACACATATATCCTACCACTGTGTGCAGGGACTGTAGTATGTGCTCTCTCTGTGGCATACAAGAAAAAGTGCACATATAAACCTCTTGTACACAAAAACACAACCTCCCTCAGGCTGAACTTACCATAATGTTATTAGCACAATCCCTTATTTAACAGGGCTCAGCCTCGGCGACTGCAATAACAGCCTGCTAATGATTTAATGCAATGCATCACATTCAAAACAAGCATTCGGTTATTTGCAATTAAACCAAACATCAAATGCTATTAGATCAAGCCAAGTTGTGTTTAGAAATGTTAGTAGACAGAAGAACATATCCAGCAGAATCAAACGCATGACAACAACGTGCTACTTACATATCGTGTTCTTTACTAAACGGAACAAAAACACTGGGATTTAAAGGCTAAACGGATGTAACAGACTGAGATGTAACAATAAAGACTACAGAGGTATTTCTTTAAGACAGTTTCCTTCTTCCCTGTTTAAATGACACGGTGAGGCTCTGTGATTTTATTGGTGTAGAGGGAAACTCACCAGCGCTCGCTCGACTGCCCATCATTTCAGAAGGCTGGAGTAAACTGACGTCAGCGACGCGACGACGCTAGAGGAAAAATAAGGTGGGCGGAGACAACGTGTCAGAGGGCGGCGCTTGTGAACAACAACACATGTGCCACGGTGATTGACAGCTAAACGCTTTAATGGTAAACACGCTAAACTCTCATCAGTCCAATCAAAAGAGCGCGCATGCGGAATGTATAATGAGTGTTAGTCTTGCTGATAAGAGCTGGAAAAGAGTTCTGAGTGTCAGCATGACACTGCAGATAATAAAATAACAAAGTATAATTTCATACATTCAACATATTAACATTTATACTTTGTTTGAATAATGTTACCCTAAAGATTATGTTTATGTTATTTAAACAACTGCTGAGTAAGAGCAAGCAGCATTGAGTGTAAAAATAAATAACCAGTATATTTTTTAAACTTACCACCTTTGCGCCACCTAGTGCTGATGTATGGATCTGAAATAGTTAATCATGTGAGCATGATGATCTCATGATTGTTACATGAGATTAATATGCAAAATAATAATAATAATAATAATAATAATAATAATAATAAAAATGAAATATAAAAGGTGCATTTTAGAAGTTGGTGGTTCATTCTGCTGTGGCGACCCTGGATTAATAAAGGGACTAAGCCGACAAGAAAAATGAATAAATGAATGAATGATCCCCAAAATAATTAAAACCGCCCCTGTGTGTGTGTGTGTGTGTGTGTGTGTGTGTGTGTGTGTGTGTGCAACTCAACAAGCATGGAGAATAGTATAATAGTCATAGACAGACCATGTAGAAACAGGTGATTAATAATTATATAAGTGTGAATACTAATGTAAATGTGATTCTTCAGGTGTTTTATCACTAATAATTTTGCAACAATTTTAAAAATCGTTTTTCACATTGTCATTATGGGGTATTGTGTGTAGAACTTTGAGGAAATAAATCAATTGAATGAATTTTGAAATAAGACTGTAACCTAGAAAAATGTGGAAAAAGTGAAGCGCTATCAATACTTTCCAGAAGCACTGCATTTAACTGCTAGTTAAACAAGTACTTTTTAGAAAACTGGCAAACAAATCTGTCAGTCTTCTTAATTTTGTGACTAGCTTCTTTTTGGCCCCACTGAAAGTCAAAAACCTTTGCTACAAAATAAGATTACAGTTTCATTCTTCAGACAATATTCTGTACATAAAGAAATAAAGCTATTTCATCACACAATTTAAATGGTAACACTATATAAAAAGTTGTATTAGTAAGTGTTTATGTGTTTACTAACATGAACAAGGAATAATACATTATTACATCTTTCATATAAGAAAACAGTTAGTGTTAGCTTGCAGTGCATTGATGTTAACAAGCACAAATTTAGATTTTAATAAAGCAAAATAAATTTTTTAATTTATTAAAATGTAATAACTTTTGTTAATGTTAGTAAATGTTAATTAACTTCAACTCATGAAACCCATATTGAAAAATGACCATTTCAATGTATGCCTTTTTGTTTATTTGACGGTTTTATTGAGGGATTGTATGCTCTAAATGTTGCTGTATTATTTAAATAAGTGAAATAATCAGCGTATTCAATAAATTTATACACAAGCTGTGTATTTGCATTATGTCTGTTATTAGAAAAATAGTTTATTGCTATATTTATGAACTTTATGTTATGTAACTTCTATTTAACCTAGTTAGGTTGAAATGTACGACGGTGAAACAACGTCAAGGCATCAACACTAATCCAACTACCAAAATCGAAAGGTAGCCTAATTCAACCTTCATTTAACTTTTGACCATAATTCACCCATAACTAAGGTAAGAGGGTGAATATCAAAGTTGATTCACTGTTAAAATGCCGGCTGGGATAGGCTTGTCTTGAACATTTACGGTTTACCTTAGCGGTTGTGGTTATTCATTTTCTTTTTCTCAGTTTCACTCGCGGCTGATGTTTTAAAATTATTTTTTAAAATAGGGACAGAGACAATCAAAAACAACTGCAAACAAGCCAGATTTTAAAATGGCAACCTTAAATTAAAACACATTAAACATACAATTTCAGCAAAATGTAAAATTTTATTTAATACTTGATTATGATGTTTTATTATTTTTTTATGAAACTTGCATTAATTTAAAACATTATAGCACACTCTCAATGGATCCATCAGAGATGAATATATATATATATATATATATATATATATATATATACACCTGACAATCTTTTGTTGTGAACAAATTGCTTTAGATATTGGTGTTTTTGACACCGGTCTCCCCGCCCCTCCCCCCTCTATTTCCCCAAAAACATGCATTGGTCGTATAGATTTGGCAGTTAATAAGTTCATAATCAAAATTAGACTGCATCAGGCAATGTAATAATCAATAAAATGGCGATTTTTACTGTTTTTGAAAATAATTATTAATTAATTTTTGCATGTCGAGTTGACGTCTTTGATTCAATCTGAGATGACGTCAACATTCCTGGAACGCGTTCTACGTTCGAGAGAGCATGGTGAGCGGCCATTTCTACAATACGATTTATATGTGCGTTTGAGGTAGGGAAAGAGCAATTTGTCGTTTTATATGTGTTTTGATGTTTAGGATTTTGTATATTGCACGTTTTATCACTTTTATTTGGAGACTCGAGAACACGGGTGAAAATAATAAACATGTTAAGACGTTTGGAATAATGCAACTATCGATTGGTCGAGCTAAAATTGTCTGTTGTGTTTGTTTCCTTTAGCCAACTTCAGACATCTGACCACTGAACACACAAGACTCACGAACGGACCAGTTGGTTCCTGTATTCTCTGGGCCTCGAGCTGTCTTCAACCACAGCCCAGCTTTGGGTGAGAACAAGCTGCTATGTTTGTCTCTAGCTTCAGCCTTGTAGATCTGCAGTATTATCATCATTGATTTCTTTATCCCTGTCTTCTTGCTAACTAGAGGTGTTTAACACTGTATGTGTAATTTACCTTTTGTAGTCAAAAGTAGTCAAACATTGGTGACTGGGCCCACACGTAATCTGTGCACGCAGAAAGTAGCACATTTTTAGGCCATCATTTAGTCCATTTATTTATTTGTGTGTAAATGTCAGGGTCGCCAGATATAGCTGACGGTTTCCAGCCCAAAAGCTGTCCAAAACCCGCAAAAAACGCCCTAAATATTGGCTAATGTTTTATTTAATTTAATCAGAAATTAGCCTAGTTACTTTATTTGTCAGGCTTTTAAACTATATAACAACCAACACCAACAGTGTCACAGAAACACAGTTGTAAAATTACAACATAACTGGATCACATTAAAACACGGCACTTATTTTTCTGTAGATGTATTTGTATACATATATTTAAAAAGTTTATTAGTCATTTGCATGAAATATTCTGTGATATTAAAATGAAGTATTTTAGATTTCAGTTTCAGTCTATTAGTTTTAAGGATACTAGCTAGTGGGCTCCAATGTGCCTCCAGTAAATCTGGTGCAGTGCTTCCCTCAGGTTTGAAATATATATATAATATAATATTGCGGTAGTAGCCGATTTGAAACACACCTTTTACCCACAGCACAGAAATGGTCAATTACATGCGACAAAAATCCACTATTTCTCTTACTTTTATGCTATTTATGAACCATGTGCAGGTAAATGTCTCTCTCACTATCTCTCTACAGTATCTCTACAGTATCTCTCTCGCTCTCTAAAGTTGCTTTATTGGCTTGACAATTACAGTATCGCCAAAGCAGTTTAGATAAGTATAAAGAATGTGATATATAAACATCATTAAACTATTAAAATATACAGCAAATGAGAAGTAAATATAAAAAAATTATAAAAAATAAACATTATTGCTAAAATTATAATAATTACTAGCATAAAAATGTGTAGATTATTTAAATAATGCAAATTAGTTGATTAACCATTTCTAACAACTGTTTTGCAGCCATTAGCTATAGATGTCATTTTGTTCTCTCTGAGTATGTAGTAAAGTTTGAGTCATTTAATTATTAATTTTCTTTTCGGCTTAGTCCCTCTATCAATCCGGGACCGCCACAGCGGAATGAACCGCCAACCTATCTAGCACATGCTTCACGCAGCAGATGCCCTTTTAACCACTACCCGCCACTGGGAAACATCTACACGCACCCTATCACACGTAAACAATTTTAGTACACAGTCAGCTGCAAAAAGGTGATGCAGAAACGCATACAAATAAAGGCTTTAGAAAGCAAAAGTAAAACCCAAATCTCGGACATTTTAGGAGATTTTATTTTAGAAACTACGGTCAGACGCATTTTGGCCCGCCCAAGTAAAGTCTATGGGTGCTTTCACACCTGTGAATCGATTCAGTTGTTCCGAAACAGGGATTAAAAATGTTACAGTGTTGCTCTTTGTTCTTGGTGCGGTTCGCTTTCACACAGCAAAGTTTCTAAAGGACCAAAAGAGCTTAAACGGGTCATGTGGGAGTTAACTCTGATTATATTGGTCATGGTTTCATGGTTTATTTTGCAGAGTCCCACTCAGCTGTCATGCGTCCTTTTTTAATCTATGACAATAAGCAATAAGACATTATAAGCGGAAAGCTGCGCTTTAATTTTAAATGGTGACGCTCAGACATCGTCACCTGATATAAATCAGGTAAGACTCTCATGCATAGCCCTTGGTTAGAATGCACTTTGTTTAATGTTCCTAGCGGATAAACAGCTCTCGTTAATAGTTCAGCATGCTTTCATTTTCGTATTTAACATGAAACACACATTTACCAGTAGGAATGACATCTCTCCCTACTCATAATTTTTCTTCTTTTAGTGCTATATGCCTATTACATATCCATAATACACTTTGATATAGCTGGGCTCGGATCGTTTTGCTTTCCCACTACAATCAATCCGACCCAGAGTTCGTTTCATTCAGGCGATCTTGGACCGATTGATTTGGCATGGA